TATAGGAATTAAACATACGAATGTTTTGAATTTAATTAGTTGAAAGGAAATAGATAAATAAATAAATAAGTAAAAAAAAATAAGTAAAAGAAAACGAAAGAAAAATAATATATGTGTATATATAGATATATACAAATTAATTCTTAGATTATTAGAATTACTAGATGCTCAACAATAATATATTAAACCGATTTAGACAAATATTATTTAAATTTTTTAAATTAAATTATTTTTAGGTATGTTTTCTTTTGAAATTTGAATAAAGATTTGAATAATCGAAAATTCTAAGTCAACTGTAATTATAAACCGTAATTAATGTACTGATCTTACCCCTGAATTTTATGTGAACTCATGTCCAAAGTTTCGGGAAAAAATATTTTTTCGCGGGGGAATTCTAGAAATAAGCAACCAAATCAAATGAGAATACAAAGTTTGACAAAAGAAGATAATGACAAAAAGGTAATAGGACGAACCCAACTCTATACGTAAATGGCCATTACTTAAAGATAGTCCAAAAATTATAGAGCAAAATTACACTTGTGGAAGCTGACGGCAATGCAAATATGACAAAGAACTCTCATAATGTTTACGTGATGGAAAAATGCTTTATATAAATAAATCTTAGGTCGTGGAACAATTAATATCATTCCTTCATTTAGGTATTTTTTAGCATCAGCAGGTTTTTCAGAGGGGTGGCGAGATGCAATTGCCCTAATCTCTTCCGTGTATCTGAGGGTGCTTCCTTAAAGATATGCAGATTTGCGCGACCATACAATGTCACGCCGGCTTAGACCATAATGCGTCGAATTCCGTAGTTGTTCACTTAAATGACGTTGGAAATATGATGGTCTTGTCCCTGGTTTTCTACATATGAGAACACGTCGAGAATAATTGTTTAAACTGAATCGAAATCAGTGAAGAGATCATAAGCCCTCAGCGTTTGTGTTTTAGATTGATATTGCCTTTACGAGTTCAGACAAGCTCTACTGAAACACAGAGTATCAATAAGGCACCCTGACTTTTTTAATGTGTACACTGTGAAATATTTCGGATAAAATTTACGATATAAAATACCGGCATTTAGGGAGCATCATCCGTAAAATACATTTAATCGTAAAATCCATTTTACGGTAAAATGTTATACAGTAATTTTTACAGAAGTATCTATTTAATTAAGGTGATTTAGTGATTTTACGGCGATGATTACAGTAAAAAGTTACGGTACATCAAATTTTCCAGTAAAATATTCCAGTAAAAATGGATTTTACGGCACGCTGAGTGCCGGTACTTTTTACCGTAATTTGATCCGGAATCCTTTACAGTGTACGCATCGCAAGAGTGTTGAGAGGCGTTGTCGGTCCCCGCCTTATTTTGATGGATGACAGAGTGGATCTATTAAGGGCTGGTCGAGGAATATCTTGAAGCCGAAGGTACTCAACAGATGGAATAGCTAGCCAGATCCTAACTCAATGGAGCATGCCTGGGATGCTCGCTCTAGACACAACAATTGCAGTTTACAATCCTCTTTCAGAAATCTTCCAATTCTAAGAACTGTCTTGCTAGAGGAGTGAGTTTTATTGTTTCAAGATCTTCTTCCAAGCTTTAAAACAGTTGGCATCCTCATAAACAGTATGAGAGACCCTAGTGAGACTTGCATTGTCAGGCGTCCGGAATTTTATTTGTTACGGAAGCCTTTAGAATGAAACCTATCTGTTTTTAAGCGCGTCTGTTTTCTACTTGAATAACTTTTTACCTTGACCACAATTTTTCGAATTCCTAGGAATTACGATAAATTGTTATTAGTTGAACAATTCTCTGGTTTGATACTGTGGAGAAAACTGCTTTGTTGCACAATGTTTTTCCCTCTAAAGTTAGAAAACTTGATTCGTTTGCTATTTGTTTCAATTGAGAATTAGAATTTATCTTTTAAACAGCATCGAAAAAAGCATTTGTATTTCGAAAATTCGCTCCGCACCAAGTTCTCTCTGTTCGCAGTTACGTTAAAAACCCAGTCCAAATAATCTTCTAAAACCAAATCTTCGTTGATTCATTCTTTGCAGAGTTCACGATGGTATACAAGCAAATTACGGTATTAAGTATACCTACACTTTAAGTGCATCATCCGTTTAAATTCATTTTACCATAAAGTATTATACCGCTATTTTTACAGTAATATTTATTTAGTTAGAGTGTTTCAATCGGTATTTTTTATCTTAATTTGATCCAAAATTTTTTACATTGTGGCTGTTAAGGGAGGTTAGACTGATCGGACCAAGTCATAATTTTCGGCAGATATGTATGTCGTAGAGGAAATCGGGAAGAGTTACAACATAAAAAAAGTCTCAAGACACAACAAATAAAAGAGAGATCGGGAAAAGGTACAGCAGGTAAAAAAAGTCTGAAGGAGAACACAACAATTAAAATAAAGCTTTAGAAGCGTGTTCTGATTTGTTTATTTCATTTGTTCTACCTACATTTGTTCTATCTTTCTAGCTTAGATTTGCTATATTCATTTCTTCATTGAAAGATTTGTTATATTTCATTAGTAAATAAGTATTTGATATTTTTTAGCAGTTATTGCCCGTAATATATTGTTTAACACTTTTAGATATTTATATATAGGTTTTAACAACTCGTTTAGATCCAAAATTTCAACACTTTAAAAAAATTAATAAGAAATGCTGTTTATAACTAAAGTGAAAACATTATAACGCAAACAGATAACAAACATTATAAAGCAATTAAATAATGACAACTTGGAAATTTTGTGCTTGAAAAATAAATAGATAAATAAAAAATATATATTTTTGCAAAAAATGGGACAAACCTCTCATGATTTTCATACTGCTCTCAGTAAAAAATTCCAGATCAAATTCCGGTAAAAAGTACTGGCACACTGAATGTAGCATCCTTAAAATCCAATTAACCTTTAAAATCCATTTTTGCTGTAAAATTTTCTACTGTAATTTTTACAGTAATATTTATTTAATTGCAGTGATTCAGTGATTTTATAGTAAATATTACTTTATATAAAAATTACGGTATATCAGTTTTTGTGGTATATATGTTGATTGTGGAGTGGATTCATTCTACGTTAAAACTGTAATAAAAATGTCAAACCATGAAAAACTTTCTCCTATTATTTAATTGACTCTAACAGGCATTTCAAATTATACATCATATTTTCAATTATTTTATAAAATTTTGTTTCGATTGGTTTACAAAACGATATTAGTCTGATATATAACTAAGCACTCAAGGGCTTGAGTAGTATATATAGGGTGATTTAAAATATACATAAATATATACATAAAAGCTTTATAAAGAGAAAAATGAATTAAAATAATAAAATTAAAATAATAAAATTGTAAGAAATAAGGGTGCCCACCGAAGCCCATGTCCGCCTTCTTAACTTCCGAATGAATGTAGTTATAACATGAGTATTTAGATATAATTATAGTTATAAGCGGGGAATTTAAATGCATTAAAGCGGCTATACACTACAAGATGCCTTCAGAGTCACCTGGTGGATTGTTCCTGCCTCAAAAACGGGACGAGAAAGAGGATAAAAATGAGTTGCAAAGTGTCATCAATTTTGTGCGAGCATTCTTACAAAGAAATAAACACACACTCAATACCCTGAGAAATAATCTCAGAGGGGAAAAAATACTTCCAAATTCGAATTTCTCTTTTGCTTTGTACATTTATTAAAATATTTTCTAATAACTAGTTATTGTTTTTTTTCTCTATCCAAATCTTTTAAATCCAATATTACAGAACTGGTTATTGAAAATAAACAAATGTAAGTTTTTGGAATTTTTGTAGCCTTTTTTTCAAGGTGTTTAATTGTTATAAATCAATGATGCTCTGTAATTTTGTAATTTATATTTTACCCCTCTTTGTATCTTTTTTGGGATTAGAACATTTATTATGTAGATTTTTTAACAGGCCTAGTCTTGTAGCGCGTAGCCACTTTTGAATACCTAGAAACTGTAGCTGAAGCCTTTCAATTATTGGAAAATTATAATTTATGTTAGTAAATTATAAGAAATTATATGAATTAAAAATAATTAATGTTACATTTTTTGGAATTATGGAACTCTCAACTTTGGATTAGAAAGTTGAGAGGGTGGATATTAACTTTAGGGTTACTTAATTTAAGAATCTATGATGATATTTTGAACTTTTATTATTTACGTCACATATTTCTTTCATCATATACAAATCTAGGAAACTTAATTTGTTTAAAGTATCTATTTTGCTACAAAAGAGAGATAAATAAAATTACGGAATTATGAAAATTCCATTAAAGTAGTTGATATTGATTATCATGTATTTTGTATTCGGTAAGCGAGTATCCATTTTTTTAAATTTTTATAATGCATTTTATTTTAATAAATAAATCGAGATGTTTTTAAAGTATCGTTAACTGGCTTTTGTACGTGAGATAGGCTTTATAACTCAAAGAAGTTATATGTACTGCATCGAGAGAGAGGATTGTTTATCATCTAATTATTCCACCTATTGGCCTTTGCAACACTTCCATTTGTCTGGACATATCACAATCTTTCTTCTTTAATTGAGTCAAAGTTACTTGCAAAGGTCAAAGTTTACATTGTTGAGGGAAAAAACTTTTTAGAAAGTGCCAACTAATGAAAAATGTGGAATTAAAAATGCTTAAATGAGAGATAAAAACACAAAAATGATTTTAAATCACCCTTATATTTTTACGTTACTTTTTTTCTGATTCTGCTAGGCGATGAATTCTGTCTTTACAAAGTTAGAGAGAAACATCAGATACATATAAAACTTTCAGTTAGTTCAAGTATCTGCATTACGTTTTTATTTATTATTTTTTTTTTAAAAAAAACTTATCGCCTAGTTCAAGAATCGATTAATCATAAATGAATCTGTATTTGTAGAATTTCAAAAATTTAAGTAACATAATTACGTATGAAAATATCTATAGGAAATAGGAATAGAGGTACATGAAGTGCATATTTTACGCAGTGTTCGATGCACATTATGCTTTTTTCAGTTCTAAGCATTGTTTAATTTGCATAGTTTGATTCACTATTCTTGTCTTTCGCGACTATACAATATGAATTTTTCTTTTTTTCAAGTCCCATCCTCTTTTAGAGGAATTTCGATATCACTTAAGTCAAATGGAAAAGTCTTTAATACATTATTGTTTTTCGTTTTTCACTTAAAAAGTAGGAAGTGTCAGGACAAAGTGCATTGTTTTCTATCACGTGGTTATGAAAATAATGAACCTCTGGTCAGAGTATGCTTTCCGATGAATCTTCATGCCTACAGTTTGGCCTTAGAATATTCATTTTGAGCCCTTTTGTATCAAAATCATCTCTATCAGATAAATCTTCATGTCGAAAATGTTCAGCTTCTGAGTCATGTTTTCTTTTCGCACTGGCCATTTCTGCAGCATGTTTCTTTCGCCATTTTGTGCGACGATTTTGAAACCATACCTGAAACATAATTGCAACATAAAGTTAGTTCAGTTGGCATAAACTATTACTATTGCTTTTATGCATAATTAATATTAGTTAATAACATTTAATTAATATTTAATTAATATTCCATTAACATTAATTAACAGTTATTTAATATTTAAATATGAATAAAACAAACAAATCAATGATATGAATCTGCAAAATCATGCAATGAAACATATTAACGAAATGATGCAATGAACAATGCATCATTTTGATTCATAAAATATGACAAGGACACGTTTCGTGAATCTTTTAAAAGTGCATACTTTGTTGACAGTTTTATACGGTTGCAAATTACAAAAAATATTAAAAAAAACCCCACATTTTCATTGAGTCAATTAATAAAAATTTGAAATTTAAAAAACTAAAAAAATGTTGTCTCCTGTTTTTGATGTAACTGGAAAAAATACGATTAAATACTAAACCCTTTTAGTTTATTTCAAATAAAATTGTCTTTACTGCAATTTGATTGCGCCATTTTTTGCCAAAATTTCTGAAATTAAATTTGCCTATTTTTCTTTTCGTTTGATTCTTTTTAAAAATAAATCTGAAAGCATTTTGCGAAGCTTTACAAGACAAATTAAAGTACGATAAATATAGCACATATAGTTATAATTTTAAGCAGTTTTTTTTAAAAAACATATTTTAAGATACATTGATTTTAAAAAAAACTTGAAGTAATGCTTTTTCAGGAAAAAAGCATTCAAAATTTTAGTCGTACTTGATGTTCGAAGCAAGGAAAATTGAAACCGAATATTATCTTGTATTTTAATAAAATAAAAACATGACATTTTCCGGGTTTGAAAGGTAATTATACTTTTTAAGATATAAAAAGAAGCTGATAATTTTTAAGATTTTTGTGTCTCCGACTCCTTTAAATAAGCGATACTTAACCATATACATAGTTGGGGCCAGTTAAGAAATTAAGCGAAATGTGTGTTAAGTATCACAATTTTAAAATAGTTGCAACTAATAGGGGTAAGCCCTACATACAGTTACGCCCCACATATGGTTTCTGGTCACTATCAAGACTATACATGAAAGAAATATTCTATATATAAAATTTAGCTTCTAAAGCATATCACTTGATTACTACTCAGATACTTTGTGTTGAACAATTCCTTGTTAATGTAGTAAGTGTCATTTGTTTTGCACATGGATTGCAATTCTCGTTACAATGAAAACCATCATAGTCAAAGCTTCTTCCATTGGTGTAATTGTTTGGTGTTACCATTTGTGTTCCGTTATCATATCGGAAAGAATTTAGAATTTAAATGCATATAATTTGCTGAATATCCATTGTTCTTAATCAAATTTTGGAAAAGTGCATCTCTTTGTTTTTTAAATAAATAAGTAATACTACAAATTCTTTTATTTATATTTATTTTATTAAAAATAATATTCAAATAAATATTTTAGGATCACTAGAATTCTATGAAATTAGTTCACTTATGTTAAACTATTATAGTACATTCATTCCTATTATCGTACATGACGATTTCTCTATTAATACTTAAATTCAAAAAATGAAAATGAACATTATCATCATGAATACGAAGCAATATTAATTTCTCAGAGAAAATATTATTTAACAAAATTATAAATTTTGAAAATTAAAGATAAATGAATTAATAAATCTAAATACAAATTTATATTTAGAGTATGATTTATTTCGAATAGTGTAATAAAAGTTAGTTAAAAAAAGACGAAAAAATGAGACAGAATATTCTATCTATTTGAATAAAAAAGCGTTTTCCATTGATTCGCGATTAAGAATATTTTTATAATCATTATAATAATTCAAAAGAGCATCTTTTAGTTCAGAAAGTGGAATGCTATTAAGTAAGTATTAGAATCACAAGTGATGGTTCTAAATTTAATAGGTATTTTAAGAAATTTTGGATTGAAAATTAAGTATGGAAGTTGTACATAATTAATTTTAATTTTTCACTTTTAATAGAAAATTAAATTTTTTTAATGATAATAGTATTATTTTAATTGTTAATCTCAAACCTTTACTATTTATTAGTTCTTTATTTAAAAGTACTTTTAAATAAGGAATTTTTGAAATGGAATTTTACTTTCACAGTAGAAGTACTTACAGTGCTTTTACATTCAACAAAGAATTAACATTTCATTTACATTTTATTTTGTGCATTCTGTTGGAATTCTGCAAACAAAATTTTCATATTTTTGTGACCAGTTTGAGCGCTCAAAATTCTACAGCAGCTCTGTCTGAGTCACTTTCAATGACATTGCCAAGTTTCTGTCCTTTTATGACGGCTACGAGCAGAATTTCCTTTAATAACCATCTCACTACCACTTTTAGACTAGCTAGAGCACTCAAACTTTATTTACAATTCGGAGCTGAGTGACAGCTCAAGATTCAATCATTGACCGCAATTAGCAGAATTTAAAGCGTTGTTATAACCAAAGGACAATTATTCGTCAATCGAAAATTTTCGACTAGTTCAGGCACTCAAATTTTAATTAGAGCTCTATGAATAGCATCAGTTTCTTCAATGAATCGCTTCCTGATCTCTATTAAGAGAATTCATCACATAAAAGATTGTTCATCGATAATTGAAATGTGACAACTGTCCAAGTAGCTCTAACTAGTATTAAAGTAGTTAAAATTTATTGATAAAAAGTTAAAATTGCAAACGGAGATCTATTCCTAAAGAAAATATAAGTTTCTATTGTTTCTTAGATGTTGCAAGCAAAAATCTCCAATTTATCATCCAAGAAAAACTTGATCGCTGTCTGACTCAACGAACAAACGGAAACCCAAGAAAAAAATTAATAAAGCAAAAATTTAAAAATTAAGTTAAAGAAGTTATCTAAAAAAGAGAAAAAAAACTTTCTTTTCATTATTTATACATTATTTTAGGTGTATTTACAATGCAGTAAAAATTGTATTAAATTTAAATTATTTTAAAATTATCTGTAGTTCACATTATTGTTTCCAATTTTTCAATATTGCCCTATTAAGGGAAGTATTTTCAGAATACTTTGAATACACATTTATTAAATATGTTGCCAATAAAATTAATCTTACTTTTACTTGACTTTCAGACATTCCTAAAGCATATGCTAATTTAGCTCTTTCTGGTCCAGCTAGGTATTTTGTTTGTTCAAAGGTCTTCTCTAAGACATAGATTTGATGCCCAGAGAATGTAGGTCTAGTATGCTTTTTCTTCCCATCTTTATCAGTACATGATTGGGCGGATACTGAAAGAGAAAAAAATTTTAAAACTCATTAAAAAAGGTATACTTCAATATTCTAATAATATGATTTAAAACTTCATTTTAGGGCCATTATAGCCTGGTTGGTAGGGCGCTGGACTCACGTTCGTAAGAACGGGAGCTTGAATCCAGCCGGCCGAAAACTTCCAGTGTAGTAAATCGCGACCGGTAAACGTTAAAATCTGTCGGGTCACAAGTTCCTCCATTTTCTCATAACAAATTATACCTCTGGGGGAGAGGCCGGGATAACCTGGTTGGTAGGACAATGGGCTCATGTCCAACATTTCATGGGTTTGATCCCAGCCGGCTGAAGACTCTCCGTGTAGTAAATTGTGACTGATGCAAGTTAAATTTGTCGAATAGCAAAATACTCCATGATCCCATAACAAATCAGAACCTCTGGGGGTACTGGTCTAGGAGTTTCCTGGTCTTTTGGATTAGTTCAAAATTACAAGGCTACGGAGTTGAACATTAGTAGTAGCAAACCCAAAAAACTTTGTCGCCTGTTCAACGATGGAAATAAAATAACATATAAAATATCTCTGGGGGTACATTATTGGAGATTGATCGTTCTCTGTTTCAGGTCAAAATCACGATCTGTGGCTGAATGAATGGATGTACGAATGGATCCGCGCTATAAATGAGTGTGACGGATGAGTGTGGCAGAAGTCGATTTCTCGGCCATAGATGGCGCCACTGGAAAACAAGAACAATTGCACCCCTGGACTCAAAGGTTTTCGACGGCAACAAAAACAGCAAAACTTCATTTTATTTCCGTCAAAAAACTTTTTTAGGGGGCACCTTAATAACTATTAAAATCATGTGAAATTATGATTTCCTGATATACATTCTTTATCTAGTATGTAAAAAACTGAACTAAACTCAGTGGCGTTACAGCGCATGGAGGGCCAAGGCCTACTGTGCCCATCTCAGTTTTCTTGACCTTGGGCTCTGGGGTGCAGGAGCAGTCGTTCCGGTTAGGTGGTCAGCCGAAAGTGAAACCCCTAGTGTTTTGTTCCCAAGCATGCTTGGTACTCATTTTATCGACCCTCTGAAAGGATGAAAGGCTGAGTCAACCTTGCCCGGCCAGAGGATCGAACCCAGGACCTGTGCCACGGGAGCTCGGAGCGCTACCACTTAGCCACCGGGCGTTATTTAGCATGCAACTTTCATATATTATTCTTTAAGCTTATTGAAAGAAATTCTTAAATCAAACGTTTAGATATTCATTTAATTTTATTCAATTAATGCATTTGTTTAAATTTAGTCAATTGTAATGATAATGATGATACCTGAGTAAAACAGAAGCTAATCCATTCACAAGACAAAAATTTTAATTTTTTTCAGGCTAATTCAAAATATAATAGAAGTAACAAGTAAGGTACCCGAAGTTTTACTGAAGTGAAATCAGGCAGTATTTTTTTTTTCTTTGCAAAATTATTCTTTTTGGTCAAGATATATATAAAATGTTTTGTCAATTTCATTTTGGATCTGGTATTCTAAATGTTTAAAAATATAAATATGGTGAATTTTTTTTTAACGAATCACAGAAAATTCACCAAATGAGTAATAACGAATACAGTAGAAAGAATCTCTTTTGAGATTCGTAAGTGCGAAATAATGAATTCAACTATAGATTTTAAAAGATTTCTCGTTATTGTAATGTTATTGTGAAAAAAAAATGCTTTCAAAATTCAGAATCATGTAAGAGTATTGGACTATAACACCCAAAAGATAGAATTTTGTTCTAGTTATTAAGTTGAAGCATTTGAATCCTAAACAATAAAGCTTCTGATTAAGATTAAAAAAATCTTAATTAAAGAAATCCCTCATAGCCATCATACCAATTTGTCTGTGGGACGAAGATTTGGTGAAATATTTAAATCTAAAACTGAAAACTTGAACTAAAACTAAAACTTGAAAGATTTATAACTTGATATTTACTTCGAAATTTGCAAAATAAATTTTCCATATTATTGTCCAACCCAAAAAAACTGTAAAAAAAAGATTCAGCCTGATTAGCGAGTGCCACTTTGGATAGCCTTATTTTAAGCTTACATTTTAAGTATTAAATTGCCAATTTTATTCAAAAAAAATTCTGAAATATGCATTAAAGTTGTATTGAAATGTTAGAAAATATAAATATATTTTCTAATAATTTATAATATAAATAAATTTTTCAAAATATTATACACATTATATAAATGAACTTTTAAACAATGAAGAAGCAGAAACACAATCGAAATCAAATGAATTATTTGCTGAAGACCCCTAGTGTGTTCATTGGTTTGGCTTTATTATTAACAAGTAGTTAAAAATATATATTAAGGACATTATAATAGTTTGTGTGAATTCAAGAGTATAATGAAGAACACTAATATTTTAGTTTCAATGGAATTAGTATCTAAATTAATGTCTAAAATAGGAGATTAACTGTTGTCCTATATGAGGGTAGTAAATGATTTTTATTGTTAATTGTAACAAAATAAATTTTTTTGTGAATTAATTGCATTAATCAGTCAGTCAACTTCACGGTTCAAGCAATATTCATAATCTTTTATCAATGAAATATTTTATATTTAAAAAAAACTAATTAAAATACCACTCATTTAATGTTAACATAGGAAAAAGCTTTCTTCAGGGAAGCACTCAACATAGTATGAAAAGATGGATCGAAAATAAGCATCGAAAATAACAGAATCAAACGAATGATACACCCAATACTATCGTAATATAAAATCGATATTTTACAGTATCGACATTAATGTTCGAATTGTTTTAGTTTATTGATATTGATAGAAAATTAGTATGAATAATTAATAATGATTTAGTTATTCTCATTNGCACCATCAGATTGTTATCTGTTCAGATCTCTGCAAAATTATCTAACGGGTAAAAAATTCAAGTCTTTTGTAAGTGTTTCTAAGGCAGTTGCTGACTATTTCAATTCTAAGGACGAGAACTTCTACAAAACAGGAAATCACAGGTTACGTGAAAGATGGCAACAGGTTGTAACAAATAACAAAGCATATAAAATTGATTAATATTAAGCGCATATTTTTATAAATGAATTCAAATATTTTCTTTAAAATACGACAGAACTTTCCCTCCAACCCGATATAATATACCGTAAAATCAATGGACAACTTTTGTTTTGTTTTGATCTCCCTCTTTTATAGACCTGAAAATTTACATTTTCAGTTAGTAGCCACTTTTTCCTAAACCTAATGAGTCAGACTCGTGGTGGCTCAGGGGATGGAACGTTCACCTCCCAATGAGGTGAACCCGGGTTTTAATCCCAGCGATGGTCGATACGAATTCCGCAATTGGCTCGCACCAAGCACTGCTTATTAATTAAAATAATTTTTATTAATAAGCTTTTAAATTAAAATAGCAAGAAAGTAAAATTACAGATTAAGATAAAAGTTTTACTACTTGTTCGTAACACCAGAGTATTTATTGCAACATTTTTATCATTTAAGTTTTGATTTTCTACATTGGGAAAAAAAGTATAGTTAAAATTACCAGAATATGATATAATTAACGGTATTTCTGGCTTTATGGGATCACCAAAGAATACGAAAATTTTTATCGAAGCCCTTTGATAATAAGTTTGGTAAAATTTACAATAAAATATAGTTTCTTAATAAGTGATAAAATGTGGTATTTTCATCATTATACCATAGACTATATATGGCATAAAAACCATTTATTAGGTCAAATTTACTTTTCAGTTTCGCATTTTTTTTAATAAATATGTGAAAGAAGAGCTATAATTTTGAAAACCAGAATTTCCAGTAAACCGTTAGTATATGAACGGAAAAATTACCAAATGAATGGTTTAAATACCGTATGTTTTGGCTTAATTAACCAGAATTATGTTCTTTTTTTTTCCAGAAATCTCACTACTATACAGTATGGTAATTGTACCAGAATTGTTTTATTCCTGCATTATGAATAGAAGTTTGCCTCTTTTCTCGAGGTGAGATTTAGTCGCCATCTTGAATTTACTGAGAACAGGTGACAAAAACAGGTAAAACTTAAAATTCACTACATGATATTGTCTGTTATACATATATTGAGTCATTATATCACAAGTGAGACATTGTTTCCTATATACATTTTTTATGTTAAATCAAATGATACTAAAATTAAATTGATAGTACTAATAGTTCAGAAGTTATAAGAGTTTCAGCATGCATGATGTCTAAAAGAGTAAAATTTTTGATTATACATATTTAAACACCTAAAAACTCCTAAGTTACGCAATATCTTTTATGTATGTGTTTAAGTTGAACCGATTAAAACCAAAATTAAGTCAATAAAGCTTTTACAGTTTAAAATTTATTAAAATTTTTTATCTTTGAAAAGTACATTTTTGTACTTATAAGTATTTAAAACTTGAACATCTTAACTTATATTAACAAGCAAAGTTATTTTTGGGTTAAATCTAATGAGATCAAAACTAAGTCAATAAAACTTAAGAGTTTAGAAGTTATGAGTGTTTCAAGTAATATAATTTTTGACATATACTTATTTACTCACAAACCCTTTATAACTTCAAAACAATAAAATCTATCGACTTACTTTTGATTTTATGGAATTTAGCCTGTAAAAAGTAAAGCATAAGAAATAATGCGGGAAAAAAATTCAGTGAAATTACCGCACTGTATGTTAAAGTAATTTCTGGTAAAAAAAAAAGAGCACAATTCTGTTAATAAAACCAAAATATACAGCATTTAAATCATTCATGTAGTAACGGTTTCCGCTCACATTATAACAGTTTGCTGGGAGTTCCGTTTTTCAAAATTATAGCCATGCATTCAGCAGAAAGTGAAAAGTAAATTTAACCGAATGAATAGTTTTTATGCCATGCTCTAAGGTATCATGATAAAATTACCAAATTTTAGCACATATTATAAAACAATATTTTGGTGTTAGTTTTACAAAAATTAATTCCAAGCACTTCGGTAAAAATTACCATG